CTCCATTGTTGGTGGGAGTGCAGACTAGTGCAACCACTATGGAAATCAATATGGAGATACCTCAAAGAGCTTGGACTGGAGGTTCCATTTGACCCAGCCATCCCTCTGCTGGGTATCTTTCCAAGAGAACTAAAAGAATCATATCACAGAGAAGTATGTGCACCCATGTTTATAGTGGCACAGTTTCTAATAGCTAAATCTTGGAAACAGCCCATTTGCCCATCCGTTGGAAACTGGATAAAGAAGTTGTGGTTCTTCTATAAAATGGTATTTTTAATTGTGGCTAGGAGGGAAGATTCTAGAATCAGTCAGTCATCAATTTATGTCCTGGTGTTGCCAATTACAAGTTACGTGACTTTAAACAATTTGATCTGTTTCTTAATCCTGAATTTCCTCATCTGCAAAATGGACATAATCACATCTGCATCAGAACATCGTTAGTAAGAGCCAATGAAACAAGGTGTATAAAAGCACTCACTGTTGTTTTTGGCACATAGAGATCAATAAATGTTAGCTATTGTTATTATTATTAAGTGTATCATCATTAATTTTTATTATTTTCACTACATCCTAAGAATAATTTCATTCTATAGGAAGAAAGGGGCTAAAGGTGTAGGGAAAGTGAGAAGAGTAGGGGAAAGGTATTAAACGAAAAGTGAAAAATATGAGAAAATGAAAAAAAATGGAAATAAAGTGTTTGTAAATGGGAAGGAGAGGAGGGGGTGAAGGGTGGGTGGGACAAGGGGAAAAAATGAGAAACAAGACCTGTCATGTAACTGTAGTGTATGCCTAAAATGCACCAATAAACTCAATTTAAAAAAAGAATAATTTCATTCTGGTTTTTAAACACTTTTATTGAAGTATAATTTAACCCACATAAAATGGGCTCATATTCATTATAGTTTTAACTAATAGAAAGGATGATCTAACTCTATGCCTCTCTCTAATGAAGCACACAACTTCTCTGACTTTTATTCTTCCACTATTCTGCAGCAGGCACTTCTTACGCTCTGCATCTATTGGTAATTCATGCATCAATAATTAGTTTAATCTTAGAAAATGTTCATTGTTATTTGGTGTGCATGTATATGTGTTCCTGCATATATCTGCAGCATGTATTTAATGAAATACTGTGAAAATATTTTAGAGATCAATCAAGCAGAATCAACTCACTGATTGCATTGAATTTTTTCTACATGGCAACTCTATACTACAGGGAGTAAAGAGACATGTGAGATTCCCAGCTCTCAAAAAGTAATACATACATATGTTTATACAAGTTAGCAGATGAAATGTAGGATCAAGAGACCAGATTTCAATTCCCTTTTCCACTATTCACTGACTTTGTGACTTAGGATAAATAAATCAGTCTTACTGACTTGCTTCTCTCAAATGAAAAGTTAAGGTAAGAATCTACCCTATTTGCGTCATAGCGTTTTTAGCAGGTTCAGTTGTAATAACATATATGAAGGCTGTTTTCAAATGATTTGATATGTTAGTATAATTCACAAATATGAATTTCAGTTATATTTAAATGCCAAATTAAGCTCTTCAGACATCAGTTGCCTTAAGAGGTCCAGATGCGTGGCTAAATTATTAGGGAATACTTTGTAGAGCAAAAGAGATGTAAACTGAACCTTCATCGGATAGGACTTCAGTAGATGAAAAGGAGTGAAAGGAGGGGCAATCATGCAGAGATTAACAAAAAGCAAAAACTTCAGAGATTTAGGTGTGTTAGTTCATGTCTGTAATCTACAAGTTCGAGACCAGCCTGGGCAGTATAATAATCGCTGTCTCAAAACAAAACCAAACCCACAGAGACTGAAACAAGCATACAAGTATAGGATAAGTGATACAAAACATTAGATAGCATAAAGTCCCTAGGGTAGTTATAATTGACAGTTCCTCTCCCCAAGGGGAGCTAAGAAAGATTAAGTGCAAATAGCATGGACTTCTGCCTATTAATGAATTTAGTACCTTATTAATCTAGGATTATTAGCTCCTTCAATGACCAGGCCTTGTCCTTGTTCTTTGATCCCTCCCTAAGGTTTACTACAGTGCCTGGCACATGGTAGGTGCTCAATAAATATTCAACAAATGAAAGAATGGATGCATGATGTCCACTCCTGTTTTTGTCCAGTTGCTTTAGTATTATCTCCTTTCTTTAGCCACTTGAACAAGAATTGGTTTTTAACTCCCTCTATGTAGTACAGCCCCATCTGCTGTTGGGATTTATGAAGTTCTTTCCAATAATGCTAGCATTGGGTGTTTTTTTCTCCATCCTGTTCCAGAAGACTCCTTACCAGTAGTGAACAATAAGGTGACCAGCAAATCTTGTGAGTACAATGGAACCACTTACCAACATGGAGAGCTATTCATGGCTGAGGGGCTCTTTCAGAATCGGCAACCCAATCAGTGCACCCAGTGCAGCTGCTCGGTAAGACCCTGCATCTTAATGTTCCTACTTGCCCCTACCTAAGGGAACTGTCTCTGTACTTGTGTTTTTGAGTTTACTCCATATGGTATTTGAATGAAAGATGAATCATACTTAATTCATAAGTGTCTCTGCCAATTGAAACTCCCTGATTGTCTTCAACCTTGATGAACTCTGTCGAAGACCTCAGACCCAGTCACACACCAGGCTTAAAGCTGGGGCAAAACCTGTTTAAATGGGCAAAGATCAGCTCTTTCATGTGATTTGCACTCCTTCATCATAATTACAGCACCTATGCATTCATCTGAAGAACTTATAATTATCTGAAGCCTTGGAAATGCCATGGGTGGAAAATTCACTGTAAAATTCAGGGCTACTACATCTAATTCACAAGACAATAGAGTGTCTCTTGGTTACCATCTTTGAAGCACTGTACTAATTAACCAGTTAATTCCTGGATCCTGCAATGAGAAAATTTCATTTTTTTTGAGAATGATTGCTACGCTGTTTTTTTTTTTTTTTTTTGTCAAAAGAACTCCATATACTTCACAAATTCAGTTATGTCATTACCTAGTTATGCAGTCCAGAGAGTATAACAGAAGCAAAAAATGAAGTAAAGTCCATATTTAAAATAACACATGTAGGAATAAAGTTAGATGCTGGAACTTTTCTGCTGTAAGGAACATTAAACAGGATTGACAAGAAAATTTGTAGAATTTCTTCCCTTGTGCGATTTGGTAAAATCTATCTCACTAATTTGTATCTCTCTTAGTATTTCAGTGATTCAGGAAAATTTTTTTGATGACATACTTTCCTTATGACTTTTCAAGAAACCTTCTAACTCTAGAAGGACATACTTCTAAGAACTAAGAGCAAGGCTTAAAGAATAACATATAAAAGATAGAATTTTAGAAGCAAGGGGGATTATTGCAGAGACAATTGTAACCAGCAAATTGAATCATCTCCCTTGCCTTATGCTGGGTTGAACTACTGGATTCAGATTATTTTGTATAATATTGTATTATTCCATAAAAAGCCTGTCTCTTTGGTTTGGAAAGGAAACTAGTGAATGTTACAAATGGTAGCTATGACAAACATCATCATTTCCTAATACTTCCAACATTCAGCTGGGGTGTGTTGAGGACCAAGGGATGCAGTTAAACAGAGAAGAGAGGAGCAAAATTATTTGGTGGTTTGGAGGCCCATGGCAGCCCTCATAGAGTGTTTTATATCCCCTTGGACCAGGATACTTGACTAGGATTGATAACTCTGTGAGACTTAATATCTGCAGTGGGAAATAGTAAGTAGGAAAAATAATGCATAGTAAAATGTAGGAAGTACCTAAAACAAACTATGGGAGATCAGTGCCATATTCGAAGCCCCTTCTCTGTCCTAGATATTGAGCTGAGCCTGGGACTTACCTCGGATCATTTTGATCTCAATTCTGTTTCTCTTTGGCAGGAAGGGAATGTATATTGTGGTCTCAAGACTTGCCCCAAATTAGCCTGTGCATTCCCAGTCTCTGTTCCAGATTCCTGCTGCCCGGTATGCAGAGGTAGGTTTCACGTATCACAAGACCCTGGATGTTGGCATCCTGAGTAGCAGAACTTAGAAAAGAGGAAAATATCTGTCCAGTCTCTTAAGGAAAGGCAATTTTCTATGATAGCCTTGTTTTCTAGAAGTGCTTTCGTTCCCAAAAGGAAAACAAATAAATCATTAATTTATAAGGGCCACAACCTAAAAGAACCTAAGCTGGAGTGTGGTGGGGAAGGCCGGCAGGAATTATTCAACGTGTGAGTGATTATCTGTCCTTTCTTAATCCTTTCTAGCTTGGCCCCTAAATTATTGTGTCATTAAAAAAACATTTATTTCTATATATGATCTTTAAAGGAAGAGTGGGCCTTGCACAGCATTAATGTGTCAGTTTTGGAGATTAAGCAAGGTAAATTTAGGTCTGTTTTTAAAGTACTATAAGAAAATGATGAAAATCTGATAATAGCAAAATGGGAAGCATCATTTGCTCAAATTATATCCTAAATAGAGTCATCATATTTTCAATTTAGGCTTCTTTAGATTCTTTTTTTTAAATTTTAAAACAGGTCCTTAAATGGTGGCTTAATAGGCACTTGCATTACTGTTTTTAGCTTATTTCTCCAAAGAGAGTTAACAAACTTTTTATTCATTAAGTTTATTAGTACATTTTAGGTAAACACTATGATTACATTCATCATTGGGAATTTGTACCATTATGTGGTATATCTTGGTTCTTATTTTTTTCTGCATCCCCTGCCCTCCTTTCCACCCCTAAAACCACACCCTATTTACAAAGACTTTGTTCCCATTTTTTTCCTTTTCTCATATTTATTCCTTATATATGTGCACTCTTGTTTAGAACAGCACAGTTTGTAATAGCTAAAATTTGGAAACAGCCCAATTGCCCAACAACTGGAGACTGGATAAAGAAAACATGTTTTTTAAAAAATAAAATGGAGTACTACTCAGCCATAAATAATCATAAACTAGAGACATTTACAGTTAAATGGATGCACATTGAGGCCATACTCTTTAGTAAAATAAATAGGACACACGTGTAAATACAAAATAGTTTCTCTGATATGAGGATCAAAATAAGGATCAGAATGTGTAGTACATAATGTGAAATATGAATAAAATGTCCAAAGGAGAAAAGGAAGGGGGAGGAATAGGGGAAAGGAATGTAGATTTTATTTTTTATGTATAATAACACCACTATTTTCCCTCTAGGTTCCTGGGATCAAATGCAAACAATTTAATTTTTGCCTTTTTTTGCCTCTTCTCAAATTGCCAAATCTATTAGCAGATTTCTATAGCCCTTCCTTTCCCAACCTTGCAACTATCAGTATCTTAATATTACTTTCTTTTTTATAGCCAGTCAAGATATTTACTGAACATCTGTTGTATCCTCAACACTGTGCTAGAAGCTTGTTTTACCTTGGTAAATATAGTACTTACACAGGACACTATGAAACTCCATGATATCTTTATGTAGATCACAAAAAAGAATACTTTAAGAAACGTTACTGCCTTTACCACAAAATCTTTGTGAATGTACAGTAATACTTCAGTTCCTGAATACTTCTGTTTGCAAGCAATTCAGTTCACAAACAAAAGTGGTCAGCAAAATTTTGGTTCCATTCCTAAACTCCACATCAGGTAACAAACAAACCATGGCCATTTTGCCCACACAAACACAAACACAGCCATCTTTTCCAAAACTGTAAAACAAATTAGATTTGTAAACTGAGGTACAACTGTGCCTCTTTAGCTACGCAGTGCACAGCCTGCACAACCATATACTGCACACTGAACTGCAAAAATATATTTTTGTTCTTATGAAACTCACATTCAATTAGAGAGGAGAATAATAATCAAATAGTCCCAACAAATATCTACATATATGACACAAGTACTATGAAGGAAATAAAAGATTGAGATAGAAAATAAGAGTTTTATTTTAGTTTGAGTAACCAGGAAGGCATCTGATGAGGTGACTTTTAAACTCATATCTGAGGGATAAAAAGGAGCCATTCATGCAAAGAGTCTAGGTGTGGTGGCACATGCCTGTAATCTCAGCACTCTGGAGGCTGAAGAAAGAGGATCACCATGAGTTCCAGGCCAGCCTCAAAACAAACAAATAAACAAACAGAAAAAAAAACCCAAAAGCTGGGAAAAGACCATTCTGGGCAGAGAGAGAAAAGAAAGGTCAAAGGCCTCAGGTAGGGAAAAGTTTGGAAGACCTATGTGGTTGTAATATGGTGATGAGGGTTAAAGTTGGCAGGACAGAGATGAGGCAAGGGAGGTGAAAAGGTGTTAAACAGTTTAGGGCTTTGAAAACCATGGGAAGGAGTTTGGGATTTCACTTTTAGTGCGTTGGGAAACCAATGGAAATTTATGAGCAAGAGCATCACAGGAAGCCAGTTGCAACATGGTGCATCCCTGTAATCCAAGCTACTCCAGAGGCTAAGGTATGAGGATCATGAATTCAAGGCCTGCCTGGGCCACTTAACAGGACTGTGTCACAAAATAAAATTTTAAAAGGGACTGGAAATATAGTTCAGTGGTAGAGTGCTTGTCTCACATGCATGAACTCCTTGGTTCAATCCCCAGCACTGTAACAAAAGTGTGACACAATCCAATTGACATACTAAAAGACCCCACAGGCTGTTGTGTCCACATTAGAATGCAGAGAAGCAATGATGTAAGTGGAGGGACCAGGAAGAAGGCTAGCTTTATTCTAGCTGGATGACCTTACTCAACTTTTCTAACAGTATTTAAAGTGAGAATGACATTCGCAGCTACCTCCAAGATGATTGTGAGATTTAAGTGAGGTGATGCAAGGAAAGGACATAGGACAGTGTCTTGCATATAATGAGGAGTCAATAATAAAATCTGGACAAATTACAAATATGTATAGAGCATTGACTGTCAACCGCAGGTGCCTATTGGAATTGCCTTCATAGATTTCTAGCCACACCAGGAGGAGGAAGTACTTTTGTTGTGTAGTCAAACTAGAGACATTCTGCCACTGAAAAGTATGGTTCTTGTTGCTACTGAAATATATGTCAACCCCCTTGCACTGACAGTAAAGACAATTCATAGTCTAGCCTCGTTTCACCTCAGCAGCCTGATGATATTCTTCCATTCATGCGCTTTGGGTTTCTATCACATTGTTCCTGTACTCTCTTTTATCTTTATACTTCTCTCTTTCTCTCTCCGTGTTTCTCAGACTTTAACATGCTTCAATATCTCCTAGAGTGTTTAAATTTATGACTCTGGCCCACACCTGCTAATATCTGATTCAGTAATATTGGAGTTGGACCAAAGTCCTGCATTTAAACAGACCATACCATTCCTTTTGTTGCTGAATGGTGGAGTATGGACCACCACTTTGAGAAAACATTCCAAAGATCATTTAGCTCACTGAGCACCATCTGGAATGATGGTTTTATATCTAAGTTTTATGAACTGAAACTCATCCTATGAAATTCTGAAATCTGAACCAACTAATAGAAAAGTAATAAATTTCGATCTCTGACTTGACAAGCCATCTAATTCCAATCATGTGGTAGCCAAGGTTGTTGAATGAGTAGTAGCCATTTTAGGATAAGAAACTGAGAGAAAAAGGAGACAAAATGTCTGCCTGCATGACAACTGTACATGCACAGTAAAGTTTGGGAGGGGGTAATAATGCCTCTCACTGGAAAATTCCCTCCATCCCTGTCTATGAAAATCTTGCTAATACTTCAGGACCTACTTCCATTGCAGCCCCCTTAGATTCTAAAACAAGTCATCTTCAGGTTATATTTTGATAAAAGGTGGAAGACCTTTCTTCTCTGCCTTCTCATTTGCATTTTTAATTTCTGTACTACTAAACATTGCTTATCCTTCAAAGGTAAGCCTAAAATGCCACTTACTCCATGAAATACTTTTTAATCTTGACAGCTAGGAGCAAACCTACCTTTTCTCTGTAACCTCTCAGAATTTAACCTGTGATTTTCTAGTCGAATTGTCTTTATCTTTTATTATCTGTGTTCATATCTCAACACTAATAGTGTATAAACTTATGAAGACAGAAACTTTTTCTGGTCCATCTTTATTTCCCCCGCAGTGCTAGGCATAGGGTAGTGCTCTATGTGTTAGAAAGATTACTAGAAAGTTAGTCATGTCTTGAATTCAATACTGCAATACTAAAATAAGATATGATTGCTTTGTTTTTTCTCCTGAGCTACTAACTGTTGCACCACTATTTTTTATCTCTATAACAAAATATGAAAGGCTGGGTAATTTGTAAATGAAAGATGATTATTTAGCTCATGGCTTTGGAGTCTGATAGTCCGAACAACATGGGACTATTTCTGGTGAGGGCCCCTCTGGCTACGTCACCTTGAGCAGATTGCATCATGTCAGGAGCACACATTAGAGAAAGGGATTACTTCTTAGCTTGAAAAGAAGCCAGAGCGTGGGGAGGGATCAGATCTGCCCTTTTACAACAGCTTTCTCATGAGAACCAGCAGGGTCTTGTGAAAATTCTTTAATCCTTCCTATGGCAGTTCCCACATTGGCCTCCCACAAGGTGCTGCCTTTTTAAAAAAATTAACTTTATTGGTACATTTTAGGTATGCATTATGATCATATTCATCATTGGGAAATGTACCTGTATATGTTATATCTTAGTTCTTGTTTTTTTCCATTCCCATTCCCCTTCTCTCCCTTCCATCCCTCCACCGTCCCTTTTCACAAAAGCTTTCTTTCTGTCTTTCCCTTCTTCTCATATTTTTTCTTTTTCTTTTCTTATTTTTGTTGTTGTTTTGTTTATTATACCAGGACTCTAACTCCAGTCCTTGCACCTGCAAGGCAGGTGCCAGAACCACTGAGCTAAATCCTCTCATGTTTTTCCTCCCGTCGTTCTTGTCCTCCATCCCCCCAACTTCTCCTTTCCCTTTTGAACCTTTGCCTCCTATTTCACACTGTCTGTTATACATTTTGGTCCTCATGTACACTTTCATTTTTCACACCAGAGAGACGATTCAATATTTACACATGTGTTTTCTATTTATTTCACTTCAGAGTATGGCCTCAATATGCATCCATTTAGGTATAAATGTCTCTAGTTTATCATTCTTTATGGCTGAGTAGTACTTTATTTTATTTTTAAAAATCATATCTTTATCCAGTCACCAGTTGGCAGGCCTCAATTGCATGTGAACTAGCACAAAGAATGAACAACTGGGATCTCATCTTATTTATTAAAAAGCTTCTGCACAGCAAAAGAAACCACCAACAGAGTGAAGACACCACCCACAATATGGGGAAAAAACTTTTAGCAGCTGTTCCTCAGACAAAGGTCTACTATCTAATATATATAAAGAACTTTAAAAATCAGACCCCTCAAATTTAAAGATCCTATCCAAAAGTGGGGATCTGAAATGAACAAACACTTCTCAGACAAAGAATCAGAAACAGCAAATAAATAAATATATGAAAAAATGTTCAACATCACTGGTCATTCAATAGATGCACATGAAAACAACACTGAGATTCTACCTCACTCCAGAAAGACTGGCTGCTATTAAGAAATCAAACAGCAACAAATGTTGTCAGGGTTGTGGGGAGAAAGAAAAAGAAGTCCTTCTCCACTGCTGGTGGGAGTGCAGACTGGTGCAACCACTGTGGAAACAGGTGTGGAGTTTCCTCAAAGAACTAGGATTAGCAATCCCATTTGACCCAGCTATTCCTCTCCCGGGTATCTTTCCAAAAGAATTTAAAGCATCATGCCACAGTGATACACGTGCACCCATCTTCATGGCAGCAGTTTGTAATAGCTAAAACTTGGAAGCAGCCCAAAGTCCGGCCTTTTAAAGATTCCACAGCATGTCTTACTCCTGCCATATTGGGGACTTCTAACACATAAACTTTTGTGCAAAGACCTATACTGAAAAATAATTAATATAAGAAAGGAAAGTAAACCATGCAAAGATGTTCAAGAGGCAGCATAGTAGGGCTGCTATCTTTCAGTGTTATTATGTCAGACAGCCTACTTCACCACTCAAAACCTGGGCTTTCTTTTTTATTTATATTTTCATTGAGTTTAGTGGTACTTTTTAGGCATACAGTACACTTACATCCATCATCATGATCTTGTACCTTTACGTGACAGATCTTGATTCTCATTTTTTCCCCATACCCCTGTCCTCCCTTTCCCCTCCACCCTCCCCTAGTTATAAAGACTTTGTTTCCATTTTTTCCTTTTCTCATATTTTTTCTTATCCCTTCTATCCTTTCCCCTACCCTTCCCACTTCCCCTACACTTTTAGCCCTTTTCTTCCTATTTCACATTATCAATAATACATTTTGATCCTTATTTACTTTTAGTTTTTCACAGCAGAGAAACTATTAGGTATTTACACATTTGTGTCCTGTTTATTTCACTTGACTATGGCCTCAATATGCATCCATTTACCTATACATGACTATAGTTTCTCATTCTTTATGGCTGAGTAGTACTCCATTTTATAGAAAAACCACATCTTCTTTATCCAGTCCCCAGTTGATGGGCAATTGGGCTATTTCCAAATTTTAGCTATTACAAACTGTGCCTCTATAAACATGGGTGTGCATATGTCTCTGTGGCATGATTCTTTTAATTCTTTTGGGAAGATACCCAATAGGGGAATAGCTGGATCAAATTGAACCTCTAATCCTAGTCCTGGGATTTCTTACTAGAAAATGAAGATTATAATGTCGGCCACCCATAATGGTTTTAACAGTGCTAAGAGAAGCTGAAATAGAGAGATATCACTTAAGAAGTGGTAATTATTATTCTGCAAGTAAGTAGAAATGAACCTTCTCTATCTCCAATACCTTTGCTTTTGTACTTATTCAATCCATGAATAAAACTTCATTTCTAGTCCTTTATGTGGTAACAGACCATAGGACTGTCTTCAGTAATCTTGCTAAAATTTAAATTTCTCTTATTGTGTCCTCAGAAGCAACAGATGAAAGCTATATCTTACTGTTCACATATTGTCTGTTTGTATACTTGACAATTCATTAAATTCTTTCTTTGCCATCTCTTCTGCAGCTTAAATATACCATTTTTAATATTTCTTTATGGAGACTAAATCCTCTACTTTTATAAAACTTGTTTTTTCCCTGCCTCCAGTTTCTTTACACATTTTAATTGTATATAAAGTGTTTGAAACACCTTTGAAGTTTCAAAGTTTCTGAAGCATCTATTTTTTAATCTTGAAGTAATGTTTTTACAAAGGTGTACCATACATTAGATAAGCATATCACTCAGTATCAGGGAACCCAGACACTTTTCCCCAGTGCTGGCTACCCTCACTACAGGCCAACTACTGAAGAAGAAATGACCCTTTGAGGGCCGAACTTGCAAACCTTCATATAAAGGGCCCCATTGAAAAAGCCTCTCTGCACTGTCACCAAACACTTGTGTGTCTTTTTCCTAGGTCAGACAGAAATCCTAGCTCAAGGATGAACCTCAGCCCCAGCTTCAGTTGATTAGACATGTCTTTGAGGATAGGGCAATCAAGAGCATGTTGGAAAGCTGTGTGTCACTGGTGGCACTTCAACAAACCGCATCTGAATTGGAAGCACAGTTCAAACATCTACTTGAACCTTAAAAGAAACTTTATCAGAAGAAAACAAATCTCCTTAAAAATTGCACTACTGCTATATTCTAAGCAGGCAGGCCTCAAGCCCATGCCCACACCCTGCTTCCATTCATGATTTATCGTTTCTGCTTCCTGTCTCCTGCCTATCTTGTTAAAGCAAAGGAGAAAACTGCAGACAATGAAGTATTTGGAGTAGACTATTGACTGTACTGAAATTCAGTATACATTTGATAGACAGTGTATATCTGTAGTACTTACTGTGTTCTAGGCAGTGTTCTCACCACTGTAATGTCCCCATTCTACAGATGAGAAAATAGAGGAGAGAAGTTAAGTGAGTTGCCCAAGTGATTTAGTAAATGGCAGAATTGACCTGAACCTCATTACTCTAGCTCTAGAGTTTCAAATTCTCTTTTTGTAATTTTTAATTTTTATTAGTACATGTTTTTAGTACAGAATGATTACATTCCTTGTGGGGAGTTGATATGTGTACATAATACATCTTAATCCTTTTTTAATTTCATCCCTTACCCCTTCCTCTCCCCTTCCTCACCCATTCCGCTATCTCTCGGTCCCCTTCCCTTTTGCAAAACATTATCTTCTAATTTCCTATTATCTATCTTTATTTTGCTCTTTATTTATATTTTGGGTTTTTCATATGAGAAACCACATAATATTTAAGCTTGTATATATGATTAAGTTCACTTAATATTATGCTCTCAAGGTGCACCCATTATCCTACAGATTACCCAAGTTTCTCCTTCTTTATGGTAGAGTAGTATCCCATAAACACCACATTATCTGTTGATGGACATATAGGCTGCTTCCCAGTGGCACAAGCAATAGCACCATGAATCAGCCAATGGGAAAATATCACATTAAAAAGCTTCTGCACAGCAAAGAAAGCAATCAACAAAATGAAGAGTCAGCCTACAGAATGGGAAAAAATTTTACCAGCTCTTTCTTAGACAGAAGACTATATCTGGAATATATAAAGAACTAAAAAAATTTAGATTACCAAAAATAAAAGACCTCGTCACAAAACAGGCAACTGAAATGAACAAACACTTCTCAAAAGAAGTACAAGTGGCCAATAAACACATGAAAAACTATTCAACATTCTGGCTAATAGATAAATACAAATTAAAACACTGAGATTCCATCTTTTTCCAGAAAGATGCTTATAATCAGGAAATCAAATAATAGCAAATGCTCATGATGCTGTGGAGGTTGGGGAGGAAACGTCTATGTTGTTAGTGGGAATGTAAACTAGTACACACTGTGGAGATCAGTATGGAGTTTCCTCAAAATATCTAAAAATAAAAAGTTCGTTCAACCCAGCTACTCCCCTTCCAGATATCCTCCTGAAAGGGTTAAAGACATCACATTATATTGATGCATGCATTATCCATGTTTATAGTGGAGAACCCAATTCTTAATTCCCACACATCTGTTGGGACCTATTCACAGGAGTCTGACAAGAGAGTAGAGAGAGCAGGGACATCAGTATAGACAGACAATGCTGAGAAAGTAACTACACTGCCCAATTATTCTCTCCAGCAATGCCCCAGCCTACCCACTCTCAACAACTGAGGACTCCCTTCATTCTAGCCTTCTCTATCTGCAGCCTTGAGGAATCTCTAGTACAAATACACTTTCATTCATTAAATACTTTTATGTAACCACTAAGTTACCTAACCTGGCATTGTAGAGGACTAAAGATATAATAGTGGACAAAAATATACATACAACCTGCCCTCACAGTGTTTTAGTGGAGAAGATAGACTTTTCACTTATAATGATAATGAATAAGTTAAAATTGCAACTATGCAACATGTCACAAAGGACAGATGTTACACAAGCCAGTCATTAAGGCGGGTGATCTTAGGCAGGTAACAGTAGACTTGAAAGACTCTTTCTCGGGCCTCAAATCACATTATATTTTCCTTACTCCACACTCCAGGGTGAGTGCCTCAGGAGTTAGGGAGACAACTGCTACAAGTAACATACTTCCTGAATCCCCAAATTCTGATCCCACCATGAAACCAGCAAGCCCTCCACACTTCCAGAGTGTCTCTACACCTTTGCCTATGCTGTAAGTGCTGCACGATGCTCTAGACTAGCAATTTTCTTCTTAAGGAACTACAGGATCATGTTGATCAAAATCTACCATTTCTTACATTATAATCCAATATAAATTATTCAGCTTGCCTTTCAGGGCTTTGTATAAAACAGTCCAGTACTTCCTTAGTCTACTACCCATCCTTGTTTCTTTGATATCATTACACACACCTTTTGCTCCAGGTTGGCTGTTATCTTTATCCTATAATGTGCCAGGTTCCTTCTTGTTTGTCCTTTTATTATGTGCTTCTCTTCAATTCTTTTTGCATAAGCTTGGAATAACTCCTCTCCTTTCTGCTACCTATTAAGATTTCATTCATTTTTCAAGAGCCGAGCTTTAGTTTAAACTCTTCTAATAGTCTTACCTGGTTTACTCTAGTTCTCATTGATCTTTTTCTTTGACTATCTTCAGAGCTTGGTCTGGTTCATACATGTCTTTGTCCATTTTATGTTAGTATAACAAAATATCTGAGACTAGATGATTTATAAAAACCAGAGTTTGTTTAGATAAGCTTTTTGGAGGCTGGAGATCCAAGGTTAAGCTGCCACATCTGCTAAGCTTCTGATAAGAACCACATGCTGCACCATGCATGGCAGAAAAAAGGTGGAAAGAGAAGGCATTAATCCCTCCCAAAAGCCCCATTTCCCAACACCACTACATTGGCAACCAAATTTCTAGGTTAGTTTAGGAAGGCCTGAACTACATCCAAACTACAACAATTAAGAATTCAGCATTTAAAATAATTTCTTCTATTATTCATTGTTTTGTGTATCTTGGCTTCTCAACTGAGAACTTCTACTAGTAAAGGATCATCTTTTCTTCCCATCTCTCCTAACCATACATTTTGCTGATGGATTTACTAGAATCAAAGAAAGCCACAGTCACAAAAAAGCTTTTGACAGGGCTCCAATTTCAGACTGTGTTAGACAGGAGAAATGACTGAACTCACAATTTATTCCATCTAAGCCACTTCATTTATCACATTTTGAACAAGCCCAAGAACAAAGCTGATATCTCTTTTAAAAATGAGATATTTCTACTACCTCCTTCAAAGTAGCTGAAACTGGAAATAGTTTTTCAGTCTCCAATAAAACTGCCATTTTATTAAAATTCTTGATTTCTCTTTCCAAAAGGCAGCAAAATTGCACTTCAGATGGTACCTTGGCTAGAATCCAGGGATCTTGGGAAAAGAAGAGTGTGATCTGCTTCCTTTTTTTTCTAGATATAATAAAAATCTTTGAAATTTTTCAGTTTTCAAAATTGAAAAAATGCTGGAGAAAATAATGACATCATCTACAAACATAGATCCTTACAAATCAGGCTTGAGTTGTTCTATAGGCTCACACATTTTGCAAAAACACCATCTCTTGGTTGTGATGACAGGAAAAGAACATTATTGAAGAGAAACGCCATAAAAAATAAAATCCAACTTGCATCACTGGAATTTTTTCTGTGTTGACTAACAACCCCTTTCCAACATGAGTAAGTTCTAGAGATCCACTGCACAACATTGTGTTTATCGTTAATAATACTGTATTGTACACTTAACAAACTTAAGAAATTATATCTCATTTTAAACGTTCTTACCACAGAAAAAAATTTAAATACTCTAATCTTGCCAAAGCTACATAATAGCCTGATAGCTATTAATAATTTCTTTTTTACAGCTAAATCATTTATATTCAGAAATGTGGGGTAATCTTAGAGATTTTCCATCCTTACCTATTATCTTCATCTAAATCCCAACTAGAACCTTTCTCCTTCTATAGAAACTTTCCAAATTGCTTTTGTTTTCTCTCCATCCATTTTGCTCAGAATTTGACACACACTTTCTGACTGTCCCAGGAACTCTGGCCCTCTATGGTTATCATGTTCCTTATTAGCATGTCTCTATGTCTAGAATATTTTCCCTTATAGAGAAAATCCTTCAGACATTAGATGGGACCATCTTGATTTTCATATTGATCTCAACAGTTTAATAGCTATAGCACCTAATGTTATGTCTTGGGTCTTTTATCACTGTCAGTATAGCCCCATCCTGTTTGTGATATTGGAAGGTTTTTTGTGAGTGTCTGTGAGTCTGGTGCTACTATCAAAATAAGAAACTCCCAATGAAGTGTTTCATAGCATTTACTTTTCCATTGATAGCTAAAATCTCTCTTCTTTCTTACTATAACTGCATAACGGAATGCCATAGCTGCCCAAACACACACCATTGGATGTGCCCATTACCCACATTGGCAAAGTCTTCATGAGCTTCAAACTCCAATATTTATAGGAATCAGTCTAATTTTTTGACTGATAATATAAACAGATGGAAAAAAAGAAAAGGAAGAATAATGACTATACTCACTTTAAGAGCCCAGTTAATGTAATTTCCAGCTGTTTCAAGCAAATAATCAATATGACTGCATCTGCTTTGATTTTCTTTGGCTATTAAAATCTGATCCATGTCTTTTGCTTATAACAAGTAGCTCAGTCTTTTTTGAGTAGCGGAGAGAGTCAAAATAGTATTCATGGAAAGAAAAATGACCTTAGAAATGATACATTTTCATTTCTAGGTTAACCAGGAAGTAAACAAAGACAGACAAATGAGTTTCCCTTCTCTGTCTTTTTATTTTCCATACATGATGTGGTGGCACAGGACTCTGTTTTATTTGGGTACCTGTTTTTTTAAAGCTCTATCTTTATAACTAAGTAAATTAACTGTCTCCCAGAAAAGCAGATATCTCTTTTTTTCCCATTAAGTTTATTGGTACTTTTTAGGTATACAGTATACCTACTCATCATTGAGATCTTGAACCTTTGCATGATATATCTTGGTTCTTATTTTTTTCCCAATTCCCCTGCCCTTCTCAACACCTCCATCCTTGCCTATTTACAAAGACTTTGTTTCCGTTTTTCCCTTTTCTCATATTTTTTTTCTTATCCCTTCTTTCCCTTCCCCTGCCCTACCCACTGCCCCTACTCCTTTAGCTCTTTTCATCCTATTTCACATTATCAATTATACAATTTAAACCTTATTTACACTTTTGGTTTTTCACACCAGAGAAAATATTCAATATTTATACATGTGTGCCCTATTTATTTCACTTAAGAGTATGGCCGCAATATGCACCCATTTACCTATACAGGACTATAGTTTCTCATTCTTTATGGCTGAGTAATACTCCATTTTAT